CTCCTTTAGCTCATTTACTACCCTCCATTTTTTCTTGTTTTAATGCAACCTTTATAGTTCCCACACATTTTAATACCATACACTGTTTTGTAACTTTGAGCAAGTCCTCATTATATGTTAGAGATGTGTCACCTAGAAGTGCAGAGTTCAATGAAATGATGTATAGCAAACTAATCTCCAATAGTGCTAATGTTATAAAGAGGGGTTACATACCATAGAGATGAATGTCTGTCAGATTGCCAGCAAGTCCTTGGTGTACTGTAGCTTACATTTGAGATGATACCCAAAAGAAATGTGTGGACTTCTTGAACACAGCAGCCACCCCCACCACTGTAGAGTGACCCAAAAGGAATTAGATTCACCATTTCTTTTTCAATGGCTGTCTTGCCAGAAGTACTCAGACATCACAGTTTAAAAAATTCCTTAGAGCTACAGCCTCCCCTCTTTCAGAGTGCAGGCACTGTACTTCCTTCCTGGATTTGAAGTCTGGCCAACTAATTTCTCTGAATCATTGCATAAATGTTACCTTGCTCGTACTCCAAAAGCATGTTAAGCCACACCGATCTATCATGTTCATAAAAACATGCTGGATGCTCAAACCCCTGGGTCTCGAAACAAAGTTTCTCCTCCCTCCTTCCCCATCCCCTACCGAGGCTCCTATTTAAGAAGAAAGGCTGAAACCATTAGCTAATTTATAGAGATATGCATGATAACCATATATTGTATATTATGACCTTTCAAAATTTGAAAGAATAGATTAGGAAAAAATATCTAAACAGCATCAACAGAAGAGGCTGTAATTGTACAGTACATAGAGTTCTCAAAGAGAGGCTGAAAGGCTAATACCCCCATTTAAGGTAGGTTCTTAATGGTAAATGGCTTTTGATTCGAGGAACTTGACTAAACTTCCCCTTCCTTGGAGTGAACTTGAATGCCTCTTAGTACAATAGTCTGGGATAAAATAAAGGTACTAATTGCTGTTGGATATTTAAAAAAATTACTTGATGGATACTGAAGTTGGGGTACCATGAGCATTTTCTGTTCCTGAAGCTACAAATGGTACTTTATAGATTTTGAAGTTTTCAAGTTTTGATTGCTCTCTCTTCATACTTTACAAAACATTAAAGAAAAAAGTAAAATGTGCCACAGTATACTAAGAGCTGTCCTCCCTCCCCACCTTTTAGTAAGTCAGTTACATACAAAAGACAACCATTTACAAATATTTAATAATAAGTCATTTAATGTAAAAAAAAAAAAATAGGGTAACCTAACTCTTACTAATATAAGCATTTTAAGAGGATGTGACCAAAAAAAAAAAATATAGATTTTTTTTTTTTTAGTGCAGGTAGATTATCCTTCCCTCCTCTCCACTTACATTAGTTCAGTGTAATGCAATCAACCTAATAGTGCCGCTTCCATCTAGTTAACTTGTAGTTTTTAGCTTTTACTATTACCATTATTTTAGTCGTGTTTATGAAATGATTAGACTGATAACGATACAAATTCTATAAATTATGAACAAGTGAGAAATGAATAGCATGACTGAAAGGGTGTATTTAAATTGGTAATGGAAGGAAAGATGGGTAGGGGTCCTCCAAGGAAGGCCTGGAAGGAGGGAATAAAGGAAGTTTTGAATGCTTGGAGCTTGAATAACAGACTCTTATTAGTATTAGCTCAGAATGGAGACAAGTGGCTTTTATGACTTGATGTGTTTTTGGTCTTTCAAGTCTTGGAGGTGGAAAGCACAGTGGCTGTGCTCTTTAAGAGAGGGGTGAGAATGCTGGAATTAGGAGGATCATGTGAAACGTGATGTCAGAATGCTTCTGGCAAGACAGTAATGAATGTCTGTCTGACTCTCTTTCTCTGTTTTTTTCTTTCTTTTCTTTTTTTTCTTCTTTCTCTTTTCTTTCTTTTCTTTCTCTTTTCTTTCTCTTTTCTTTTTCTTTTCTCTTTTTTCTCCTCTCTTTTTTCTCCTTTCTTTTTTCTCCTTTCTTTTTTCTCCTCTCTTTCTCCTCACTTTTTTCCCTCTCATTTTTCTCCTCTTTTTTTTCTCCTCTCTTTTTTCTCTCCTCTTTTCTCTTCTCTCTCTCTTTTCTCTCTTCTCTTTTTTTTCTCTTTCTCTTTTTTTTTTTTTTTTTTTTTTTTTACACAGGGTTTGACAAGGTTAAGGATGCCTAGCTTTATTTACAGGTTAAGGATTCCTAACTTTATTGGCAAGCTAAGAGCTGTTACCTACATCAGCTCATTTGAAAGCATTTTTATTGTTATGAGACATACAGGTAGGGAACAGGATGAAGTTGGAGCCATCTGTGGGCCAGCATTTTCATTTGATCAACTGACTTTATCTCGTTGACATCATTATGCTGTACGAATGTGTTCCATACTCGAGTCACCCTGGGTATATAGGATCTCAGATGGAGTGAAGTTCTGGAGAAGGGTACAGCCAGAGTGAAGTTGCTGCTTTCTGCCCGTCTTGTGGCATAAAAGCTTGTTTCACGCTGTCCTCGAAGTGGATCCAAGTGTGGTACTTTGACAATATTGGCCTTGTACATAAGAGTAAGGCCACCCACATCCCTCCTATGTTGAAGGCTCTGCTGAAATGACAGATCTATCCAGGATGGGTCCAGGCGAGAGATGAGACGTCTTGCTCTGTTGTCTACTCTGTCAAGCAGTTGCAGATGAAAGGGGGGGCAGGCAAACCAAGAAAGTGGAGCATACTCAAGGTGTGAGTGTACTTGTGCCTCGTACAGAATCTTGCAACCCTTACTGTCAAGCAGATGCGAGATACGGCGAAGTGCTGTAAGCTTCCTGGCTGCCTTGTTTGCAAGATTTAGAACATGGTTCTTCATGGTTAGTTTGGAGTCGAATTTCACCCCAAGGATATCAACTTCTTCTCCAGGTGCCAACACCCTCCCATTCATCCTTACTACTGCACCAGCATTACCATTATGGTGCCTAGAGACGATCATCATTTGTGTTTTCTCAGGTGCAAATGTTACTTGCCATCTATTTCCTCAAGCTGATATAGCTCTCAGCTGGTGATTGATGTAGCTTAGAGCAGCTGGCATTTCTTCTCTTGGATAAGTGAATGTCAGTGTACAGTCGTCTGCATATGCATGTGATTCTGGGATGAGACGAAGAAGGTCGTTGAAGTAGACATTCCATAACAATGGTCCCAGCATGCTTCCTTGTGGAACACTTGCTCCAATAGGATGTCTTGCTGATTCCGTTCCATTGAGAACTACACTTAGAGATCTACCATGAAGGTAATCACTGTAGAGCCTGCAATTCCCAGTGCTTGAAGTTTTGCTAAGAGGCCCTGGTGCCACACCCGGTCGAAAGCGCCAGCAATGTCCAGTGCTACCACACAGCTGACTTTGGATTCATCCAGTGACTGGTGCCACTTAGTGGAGAGGTTTAACAACAGATCAGCAGCAGAGTAACCTTTCCTGAAGCCATATTGATGATCACAAAGTAGTGAGTGGTAGTCAAAAAACTCTGTCATTTGTCTTGAGATTGTCTCAAGGATCTTACCAGTGATTGACAGGAGTGACACTGGTCTGTAGTTGCTGATTTCTGCTCTGCTCTTCTTTTTGTGAACAGGGACTACATTTGCCTTTTTCCATAGAGAGGGCCATTTACACTGTACTAGGCAGTGCTGAAAGATGCGAGTTAGAGGTGCTGCTAGCTGGTCTGCACATCTTCTCAACAATCTTGGGCTCAACTTGTCTGGGCCCACAGCCTTCTCTCTCTCTCTCTTTCTCTCTCTCCTTTCTCACTCTCCTTTCTCACTCTCCTTTCTCTCTCTCCTTTCTCTCTCTCCTTTCTCTCTCTCTCTCTCTCTTCTTTCTCTCTCCTTTCTCTCTCCTTTCTCTCTCTCTTCTTTCTCTCTCTCTTCTTTCTCTCTCTTCTTTCTCTCTTCTTTCTCTCTCTCTTCTTTCTCTCTCTCTTCTTTCTCTCTTCTTTCTCTCTCTCTTCTTTCTCTCTTCTTCTTTCTCTCTTCTTTCTCTCTTCTTTCTCTCTCTTCTTTCTCTCTTCTTTCTCTCTCTCTTCTTTCTCTCTCTCTTCTTTCTCTCTTTTTTCTCTCTTTTTTTCTCTTTTTTTCCTTTCTTGTCTCCCCTAACTTTGGTGGGAGATGGCTGATGTCTAATAAATATACAGTACATGTATTTATTACACACATACACAGTGGAATAACATACAAATTAGCAATGTATAATCAGGACACTCTACCTTGTTTGCTTTTGATAGCTTGATTTAGTGTTGTATAAAGAAATTACTTGCATGAAAATAAACATTAGGTTTCTACATGTTTTCAGTGGTGCTCTTTTAAGAATTCAGTGATAGTGTACTTCCTTTGGAATCAAAGATCATTCAGGTGAAATTTCATTTAATTTGCTGTAAGTATGGCTTTTAATGTGATTTCTGAATTCTTAAAGTAATTAAACCTAGGAAAGTGATGAAGACTGAAGGCCACCTGCCTATAATGGATCAAGGGGTTATTACCCCTCTCAAGGTTCAATCTTTGTCTAGACCTCCTGATCCATTGTTCTGTCAGGTTGTTGGTGCTTGCATTACACACTGTCATAAGCACCTCAGCCTGGCTGATCAGAAATCCATTCATTCCAGTTCCTATCACTAATTCTGGCAACATATTTTACACCATGGTCATTGACAGTTGAATAAACTGTACTATGCTTGGTTGTGCTGCAGTTGCTTTGTGTAGCTTCAGGCTGGTACCAGTTCTTGTGGTATGTGTTGTAGTCTATAAACTGTAAGTTCTTTTTCAGTATATATGTTAGAAAAACTTATCTTCTGCATTTTTTTCTCTGTGTATGCTTATCCCTATAGTTTAAAAATCGAGTTTTTTTTTTTTTTCAAATATTAAGCTTTTACCTAATAAATCTTATAAACAAATACACACACAGAAAAAACTAAGAAGGCATGAAGCTTAAAATAGTAAGTTAATGATTGACGAGTGCCTGTTGATGGTGCACTAGGTCGGGGAGGAGGCAAATCACCATCCTCTGGGGGAAGCGGATCGGGATCAGGAACAGGAACAGGGACCGGGTTGAGACGACAGCAGTCCCTGACAGAACGGGACCGGCTACGCAGGGATCGAGTCTCCGTCCATGAGGGTAATCACAGACCCGTTTAAGTAATGTTTGCTGGAGATCTCTAGTAGGTGTAACATCTTCAGGGATTTAAGTACTGTATTTCATATACCATTTTACTTGTTTGTTTGTAAATTTGCTTGATGGTAATATAGCAAAACTAACACTTAAAAATAAAAAATACTTTTTTTTGCATGCACCATGTTAAGACATTTATAGAATTATGGCTAAAATTCTTTTGGAATAACATAAAATTAGAGAGCCTTAATATAAAGTTTAAAAAAATGTTAATTTCTAGGATGCATTAACTAATAGTTTAAAAAAAGGGTGCATAATTTTTGGTTGATATAGAATATTAAACAAATGAGTTACCAGAAAGTAACTTATTATACATGTATAGTAAAAATATTCAGTATATACACACATCTGGGTGAGGGGGGGGGGACTAATTGACCTTACACTAAACCTGCATTTCTTATGCTGCTTTTGCTCCTAATGGTATGTTGAGAGAGATGTTCTCTGTACATAATAGCTTCATCCCTTGCTATACTGTCTTTCACTTTTGGTGTGGAGCTAACTTTCTTATTGTCATAGTGCTTAATTCTTTATATTTCTTTAGAGTGGAACTCATCTGTTTGATAGTATATTTAATAACTTTAAAAAGCGTGATATTTGTTGAAGAAATGAGCTATTAATTAGGTAGTGTATGTTGAACTAACAGTTTATCTTTTGGCCGTGGGCTGCAGGAGATGAAGAGGGGGCATGCGGGGGGTTCAACTGGGGGTCTGTATACCCCCAATGGTGGTGGTCATGCAATCATGAGGTGACAGATAGAGACTGCATATATTGTTGGCGACAGTACCAGTCACAACCCTTCAGTGATCAGTATTCATACTATCTGGCCTCAGCCCAGACCTGCCAGCCCACTCGGCAGGAACAGGCCCCCGCAAGTGGGCCAAGTTTCGGCAGAGGATACCCACAGGGTCTCGGCTACAACATACCTGTTAGAGATGTCCCACTCTACCATCATCCACCCAGTCATGGCCTGTCACATGAGCGTGTAAGGGCGCGGGCCAGCCACCCAGCCCATTTACAGGATTATGGTAAAGTGTTATCACTTGGCACCCTTGTGGCACTCATATGTGTTGTGCTTAGTGGGGGGGGGGAGCCGGTAGCACTTCGCAAATACTGTATCCCAGTTCATTTCCCAAACGACTTTGGTTTTTCATTTTACATTAAATGGCTGCTGGTTGTTTTTTATTTATTTTTATTTTTTTTTTTTAATTATTTATTCTTTGTTCCAAAATGCATGTGTTGCAGCTTGTATAGATTCTTAAAAGTCTAAATTTTGTAAAGTGAAGCTGTGTTCTTATTTCTACTATTAGATTATTGTTACTTCTATATCATGTGTTCTTTAGTGTTTCCTGCTAAAAATCACATGCAATTTTGAGTTTTAAATTGTCCATGTATACTTAGTATATAATCAAGGAATGTATTTGGTGAGTTTGGACATGCATAGTTTCTTCTCTTCATTAAGAAGCTAACATTATTCTAGATGTAGCAAAAAGTTTTATGCATGAAGCTTATTTCATTATCAATACTTGGTATTGCCAGCAGCCATTTATAAAATCCCATGAAAGTAATGTTTTTTTGACATTTGATGGGTTAACACATGTGATGGGCCCGCCTGACTGGTTGGAGGATGTAGTAATTATATGTATGAGCTATAAGGCCATAATCACCAAGTATTGATGACATGAAAGCTGTTTGTACATATATAATGTACTGTGTATACAGAACAAGGGTTAACAAAACTGGTAGAGAGAGATTCTTCATGTAGTTTTAGTTTTACCAAGTCTGTGAGGATGCCTTTTGTGCCTGATGTGATTATGTATTTGTATGTGTGTGCGTGCATGAGAAAGAAGTGTGTGTATGTATATGTATATCTGTAATTTGTTTGTTTTCACAAGCACAAATTGCAAACTTTTAAATAATACAACACACGCAGTCAAGAATATGATTTGAAAAAGTCTTCACTACACAAAACAACAAAAATGGTCTCTACTGTTTCCTTAACTTTAGCTGTTTTAGCATATCAGGCATATTTATAGCCACTTAACATATCCTTCAATTGTGTGTGTGTGTATGTATTTTTAAATATGGTTCAATAGTTAGAATAGGGCTGTGCTCATTGTCATGACTTTGTCATAAATTTGTATTATTCCCTGGACTTTTAGTCTGTACTATTATTGTGTAATTACTTAATACAGCTTATGATCTTTGTGTATAATTTAATCTTAAAATGTTTTATGATCCCAGTGGGTTTTGTGTAGTTATTTTTATTTCTACTCTCTACAGCTTTGTTTGTGAAGAAAATTTTTTAATGTCCCATGTACATTTTCCTTCATAGGTGGTTAATAGTTATGGCCTCTTCTTTTTCCCAAGAGTCATTGTCTGCTTTTTCTCATCCTTTTATGAATTTGCACATCATATATCCTCATTGTTTTATTATCTGATGGACATTTCCAAAGCCTCTAGTCAGTCGTAACTTTTTTTTTTTTTTAAATTCTAGAACTCATTTTGATCATTTGTCTTTTAATTTTTACTATATTAAAACCTTTTACTTTAAGGTGCACAATATACCACATCTATTTACATTTGTTCTGTCATAGTAATGTTCTTTATATGCTCCACTTACAGATGTAATTTAATGTCCTAAGTACAGTAGACTGTTTATGATAGTTACGTTCCTGAAAGTGGGGCCTTATCAAAAAATCGTCTAAAATGAACTGAAGAACATACTGGAAAAATAGGGTTATGCTCAGTTTCTTTTTAAGCTTTGTAATTCATCAAAATTCAAAAATAGTTTCATATTCACTGTAGTTGTCATTGCTTGCTGATAGGGAAATGTTTTGTATTGGGGAAGGGGGTTGATGTGACCCTGTACAATACCTGTGCAAATGTATGATAAGCAGCTCCACAGTTATTACCTGCCACAACTGTTCCCTGCCTCCACCAAAACCATTATCACCTGCAATCATCAATAAAACTCTATATTTTATCTGTCAGAGCCATTTTTTTTTTTTTTTAAACAAAGTATGCCCAGAATAATACCATAATATGAATGCAAGCTTTTCAAGAAAACGTGAAAAATTTAATAAATTGTGAGGAAAACTTCTCAAGGCTCAGTTTGTGTTATTGTTGGGTTAAGGCTTGTGATGGGCAGTGAGTCATTGTATCCATCTCACAACTGCAAAATTAACTATTAGAATGCTTTTTACAAATACATGTATAAGCTATTAGTACATGTTAATAAATTTTTTTTAACACGTCTATTGTCTCCCACCTAGGCAGGGTGACCCATAAGAGAGAGACACTTTCACCATCATTCACATATAATCACTGTCTTTGCAGAGGCACCCAGATATGACAGTTTAACCCATTCACTGTTGGTCTTGTAATGTTACAGCTTGCAAGCCAGTGTTGCTCCTGTAATATTATGCCAAAATTCTAGCTGCTTCAAATCTTGCAGAAGAAAGCTGGTAGGCCTACATATGAGAGAATGGGTCTCAGTGATCAGTGTGTGCAGTATAAAAAAAAATCCTGAAGCACGCAGTGCATAATGAGAAAAAACAAAAAGAAAAACTTGTTGTTTTTGGTTTAAAACAGCAACTTTGCGGTGTATTTTCGTATGGTATTTATGGTTGTAGTCTCGTTTTCTTGGTGTCAATTGATAGAATGGAAGATATATTACAGAAATAGCGATGATTTTGATTGGTTTCATGATGAACAGTACCTTGAAATTGAGCTCCAAGTAGTGAAACTTCGATTATTGCTGATGTTCAAGAGTAAATAAATGACATCACCATCTAATACATATCCAACTGGCCAGTCTAATATGCAATCATGAATGGGTTGACATTATTTATACAATTATTACAATAATGCAGTAGTCTGCATAACAGTAAATCTTCTATTTTTTTTTTGTGTGAATAAAAATTTCAAAATTGAAAGCAAAAGTAATACAAGAGGGGCCTGGAGACGTAACTAATGAACAGAGTAAATGTTAGTGCCAGAAATGTCTGCATTGTTTATTCTTGACCTTGTTTTGAAATTGGCATCTTTTGAAATTTGTGTGAAATTGGCCAAGTTGCTAATTTCTGACCACTTTATTGGGTAGTTGAAATTGGTAAATGGGCAGTTTCTTGTACTCAATTGATAGAATAGGTGGAGTTCTAGCGAAATAGCTATAAGTTTGGTCAACTGGAACAGTGGAATTGGCCGAAAATAGGGCTCAAATTGGGCGAAATCGCCTATGCGTAAATATCAGACTGCTAACTTCGAGAGTGTAATTCCATAAGTTTTCCATCAATTTTCGTTCTTTTGGTGTCATTACCATCAGGAAAAGATTCTCTTTCATTTCATATTTTTTTTTTTTTAAATTCTTCTACACTGAGAACAAGTTTGTGAGCAGGGGTCATGACAGTGGAAGGGTTAAATGCCCCTTGCATTTTCAGTAATAAAATTAACTATGTAGAAGAGGGTGATTGGAGGCTCAGGCTGTGGTGGTCTTTAACAATATCAACAACAAATTCTCGTTCATCCTTGTTTGTTGATCACAAAATGCGTGTACTAACTAAACTGATGCACAATGTATTTGAAGTATGTCCAGTGGAACCTCGGTTTTCGTATGCCCTAGTCTGCATGTCAAACTATAGTTATTCTCTATTAAATGTATTTTTTGGTAATATTTCCCATAAGAAATAATGTAAATCCAGTTAATCCATTCCAGACACCCAAAAATATTAGCAAAAACTACATTTTATATCCTCTTCAAGGGGGGCTCCTTGGCGTGGTGAAGAGGCTCTTGGTCTGAGGAATTAGACCTGTCGGTCTACTTCCTCAGACCGAACCTAATTACCCCCCAATCCCCCGTTCCCTATCCCATCCTCCCCTTTTTCCTTTCCTCCTCCTCCTCCCCACCCCTCCCTTTTGCCCTTCCTTTTTGGCCTTTTTTTTTTTTTTTTCCCCACAGGCACGCTAGTTCCTAGGTAGGGGAAAGGGTACCGGGGTCCATCCCATTCCGTTGAGGTTCTTGGCGGTGGCGTAGTTTGCCGTGCAATCTGGATTGCCTGGGGATGTCCTGATCCCTCTCCGGTATCCCGGAGGGTGGCTTTGGGTGTCTCTCGGGCTACGGGTGTATCTCTGGAAGCCACCTTTCGGATTCCGGGGGTGGTGGCCGAAGGAGGTATGCTTTGTGGCGGATTTCCGGCCGCCCTCTCTTTTGTCCACCGAGGTAGCTCGGCAGATATGAGGTTGCTATCCCGGATTGCCGGTTTACTGGCATGATGGGTAGGGTATGGCACGGGTTCCATGCTGCATCTGCGCTACTTGCGGTGCTGAGGTCCTCTTGGGCGCGGAGGGAGATTTCTGGCCCTTTCATTCCTCCTAGGAACTATCCCTCCCTGGTCCCCCCTTTTTTTTATTCTTTTTTTTTTTTATTTTCTTTTCTTTCTTTTTTTTCTTAAAAACAAAAAGAAAGAAGTAACCTAACCATGGCAGCCCTAGTCCATGAACCTGCTACCCCCGGGCCCCTTCTTGATACCGCACCCCGTTCTGACCCTGCCTCATCTTTGGATGACTCTAAGGACACTCCTCATGCCTCTGTACCTCTTGCCGGTGCTGTTTCCTCACCCGCTTCAGGTACTGAGGCCTCGACTGACTCCTTCGATTTATCTGACCTTCGCTCTCCTCTGACTATGCTTCCGGCCTGTCCCTCTACGGCGCGGCAATTTTCGAATCGCCGGCCCGTTCCACGTCGGACCAACTCTGGTCCCACGCCTAAACGCCAACGACAATTACCTGCTGATGATACTTCTCCACCTTCTCGTTCTTCTCAGAAAAGATCGACACGTCCTTCACTACCTTTTCACACTCAGTTTCAGACTGCACAATGGACTAAATTCTTCACTTTACGACCGACTTCCTCTACTGCCTATCTTTCTGACCACAGATTGGCAAGGCACTCCTACGCCATGTTGGTAAAGATATTTCTTTTCATGCTCTTAAGAGCTGTACGCGCATCGTCATCGTACAGAATGCT